TAAAAGAATGAATAATATGGAAGCATGAAACTGGAATGTAGTAGCCTAGAACCCTCTCGATTGTATGCTCTCTCTCTTTTTAAATATTTCTCCTCCATCATTCCCAGATCCTCACTGGTCACATTTGTTCCTTCATTCCAGGTCCCAGAGCAGACTGTGATCTTAAAGTCTGTGACGGTGAACATCCCTTCTACATTTTCAGCTTCACACCATATGCCAAGATTTCTCAAACCTGAGCAAATATGTGGATACCATCCTTTAACAAAAATTCTCATGAATCCCAGAAATATTCCCTATTGATCTCATTTTATTGTTACAGCAAATTATCACAGCAAGGAGAAAACTTTATTTGTATAACTGGTAAAGAAAATAGATTATCATCAAAATGAAAACATAAAATGAATGATTTTTCAGAGAATAGTATGCCCCAGAGCCTAGGAAGCCTCCATTAGTTGATAGAGGACTCTACTTCCTACCAAAATGTTTGTAATGCCATGAGATTTTTATGATTCTTTTTCAATGTAAAGTGTTAACATGCAGCATCAGTATAATATCAACCACCAAAATGACACTTTCAGAAAACTTTGTAAAAAATTTTTTTTATAAAAGTATAATACAACAATTGGGGCTAAATAAAGATTTTGAATTCACAAAATATAGTTATTGTGTGTTTTCTTAGGTTCACTGAATCCCCTGGTGGACATTAAATGACTTCATATATTTAAGATCTTTTATCTCCAATTTTTTAGAATCATGTCTCCTGTGAGGTGAGGCAGACATACCTATTTGGGGGCTACTGTGGGATTGAGGGAAATTGATACTGAGCTTACAGGTCATTTGGAGGAATCTGAATGGCCACAATGGGATTTTTACTTTTTTGAATAAATATACTTTCATTCTCTGAAACCTATTAAAACTGCCTTCCCAAACTCTTCCCTCTCTCCCTTCCCCCTTTCTTTCTTTGTACAGGGGTTTGAGTCCAGGGTTTCATGCATGCCATGCTA